TTTTTTGTATTTATAGAGATCTCCTAAATTTATAGTATGTTCTCCTGTTTCCATCCTCATGACACGTAGTGACAAAGGTCCTGAGAATTCAGAGATATGTAATACTGTGCCTCAGCAGAGAAAGGCTTCTGAAACAACTGGTGAACTCCTGTGTATTATACAGATCAGTGCAAAATAATTTCTGATCATACTTAATTATTTAGGTGGCACCTCCACTCACAGACTAGGTTTGTGAGAACAGCCATAGAGTTTTGAAGTCTGAGAAAAATGAAGCAAATATGAAAGTGTTATCAAGGACAGGGTAAAAATTTGTGAAGGACAAATTCCAGAAAGGGCTACCTGTTAAATTCTCATCGAAAAATACCAAAATTTATGCATTTGCATGGACATATACATGTGATATCCTTCTGAATGTAAAGGAATAGGGGTGTCACCTCTGAATTAAGAGCTGATTTAGTAGCTTGGTTGTTAATAGCCAGTTTAAATATGGAAATTCTCTACAATGGACTTATCTAAGTGGTGTAAATGAGAAGCCCTAAATAGAAATTTTGCAGTGATATTGATTGTTAGGCATGAAGAGTTTTCTGCTTAGGATGGATCAGAGGAGTGTGGAAAAGATGTGGACTTGACTGACAGGATGCAGGCAGCAAATAGCCGGACATACAACAGAGAGGGTCTTCACTGAAAGTCAGGTAGTTCTTAGAGCAAGTATGAAGCAAACTTGGGTTCTGATTGCTTCATGGAGGTGATCAACACCAGCTCTGGCAACAAACAATCAGTATTCCACATCCCTGTCAATCCATAATTTTTGTGTTCCATACTTGAGATCTAATTTGGTTATCTCTATTTATGCCCCAGTGTCATGAAGCTGAAATTTTCAGTTTTTTTGTACCAAGGATCAAACGCATGACCTATGCTTTCCAGGCAGGTGTTCATGCCACTGAGCTAAATACGCAACTATGAAAATGTTTTCTGTGTAGTATGGACGATATCCACATTGTTTCTGAGAAAGTATTGAATATTGTTGGAATTTTTCTGTATTGTATGGCTATAATTTTTTTTTAAAACAAACCAAAGTTGTCTTATGCAGTCTCTTTTTAAGTTTCACTTTGTCTGTTCGGTGTCTCAATCAGGGTTTGTCTATTTTAGACAGCTCTGTAACTTAGGATAGCCCCAAATTCAAGGAAGAAATCCTTCACCAGATTCCCAAGATATATTTCTTATATTTGAATTGAAAGTGATCACTTGGTGACAGTGAGGTATAATTTACAGCTTGGGCCTGGTTTCATTTTATATACATATTTTAAAAATGCAGCTGTTTTCCACTAACACTTGAGTTACTATTTATATACCATATTTGATGTTATTTATGTTTTGTTCTATGAAACCAAATTCATGTTTCAAAATGCTGCTGAAGTATATTAAGAACAAAGTACTCATTGGCCTAAATGAGATTTGAACAGACATCATCTGTAGTCTATCAAAGTGATTGTTGAGATTTTTTATTTAATTTTGAAATTGGTAAAATAGAACAGAACAAGGCAGCATAAGGTCAACTAAGATCACACAGTGAAATTGGTACACAACTTCACTACAGGTTACTGGGATAACAGTAATAGGTATCACAGTATATTTTGTTATCTTTGTCATAGTTGTTCTTTAATCACATATATCAAAATGAGATGAAATACAGAACATTATAGAACTTATCAAAACAGAATATTGAATTGAGCAGTACCATTAATCAGAATAGAATGAAACAATAATAAAAAAACATTTTCCTTCAAAGAGATAGTAGAATGAAGTCCCCCTAATTTTCTATGGTCAACTTCCCAGGAGATGCTCAGATTTCTGGTTCCCATTTGCTAATGTGGGGTGACAGGAGAAGAGGGATAGGGAAGTGGGATGTTTGATTCTAGATGGTGCATCAGTAAGTTCACTATTGCTTAGTAGGGAGACAGGCTGGTTGTTTGGTTTCACAGCGCCCTAAGTTCCAACATAGAACGGATCTTAGGAGCTGCTGCTGGTTATCCCCCTGGAAGGGCTGCAGTTTTCCAGACTGCCACCGCTGACCGGGGAGGGGAGGTTCTTGCTTGTCTTCCCAGGCAATTAATGAGACATTTATCTGCCTCTGTGCTTTGTGGTTGCTGGTCCTGCAGGCTTCTCACTGTGAGCTCTGCTTTAGAGAAAGTGCACAGGGAATCTTGCCATGACTCAGCACAAGAATCAGTGCTCCTATTTGCCTGTTATATTAGCAGTGAGTTGCAATCTAGCATCAAATTGGCTGTCTTCAAAAATGTGTATAGACACAAAATTAATGACCAAGACATGGATTTAAATTTGAACAAATCAGTCTTCATTCAGCTGTTTTGTTTGGCTTTATTTGTTGAGTTTAGTTTTGTTTTATTGAGACAAGCTTTCTGTATGTATATCAGCTGGATTTGAACACCCTAGAGCCTAGAATTGCCCTGACCTCACTGATGCCTTCCTGTCTCACCTTTTGAGTGCTGGGATTATAGATATGCACCACCGCACTTTGCTTTTGATTCAGATTTGTAGGAGAGAATTTAAGATATCCCAAACCTGGGGTCTCACCCTTCCTTTGAGAAATATATGTATGATCCTTTAGGAGGCGGTGATCTTTGAGGATGGGGTTGTGAACTTCAGCAATGAGGAGTGGAGTTTGCTGAGTCCATCCCAAAAGAACCTCTACAGAGATGTGATGGGTGAAATCTTTAGGAACATAGCTGCAATAGGTAAGGATGAAATCTTTTTGGCACTCATGCTGTCAGAATATTGTTTGTTGCTCATTAGTGCTGTTTCATTAAAAAGAATATGAAAATATTTTTAAAAATAGCTCAGACCTGGACACATTATATCATGAATCTAAACAAAATCTATTAATTTGTATGTATTTCTCAACTGAGTCCTGGTATTTCTATGTCTACAGTTCAGGAGGACTCGGGGATATCCAGGAAGCTGAAAAAGAATGCAAAATTTACTGGAGATACTTAAGGTAATTCACACTCACAAGGAGAGGAATGTTCCTGAGTAATTAGTGAGTCAGCAGAAAAATGACCACCAAAGAAATGAGGCACCATTTAATTTAATGTCAGTAATATTCTCCAAAGATGTATAAGCTAGTATATATATGAGGGAATTAAATCATGAAAATGTATGACATTGCATGTAGATGTGTATGAAAGGCATACACTTTGAGTTATGACATTCTCCCTTCAGTTTTTCTACCCATATATACATGTGAATACAACACATTCATTATCGAACAATTGCTAAGATTGCAATAGAATTTGAAATAAAACTGAGTGCTCATGTTTCCAAGCCATGCTCTAGACAATTGGCAATTCTGACTAATATTCTTAGTAGGCTGGTGGAATGTTAGTGCACTCATTTTGAATATCAGTATGCAGTTGTCTCTAGAAATTGATCCCCTCATACTTGTCCTGGATACTTTTAAAATCTCAAAATCCACATAAAATACTGATACATGCTTACTCATATATAAAGCAGATCAAATTATAACAGATCAGGCCTTGAAGCTTATCTATCTATCACTGGATTTGTAGAGAAGGAAAATGTTAATGGACTCTCTGTGATTGTGCATTCTTGTAAACCCATCACACTAGGAATCAGATTTTGCAGAATGGCAATTTCAAGATCAAACTTCACAGCTTAATGATCTATGAAAATCACTTAAAATAGATTTTTAAAAAGCTATAGATTTATGCTAATACATGTTGTTCATTCCCAGCAAGAATGGAAAAAATGTGTTATATAATGTCAAAAAATAAATAATATAATGTCATTTGCCATAAGAATTAGCTGGGTCTTTCACCCATCAATTCAGTGAAATAGCTCAGCTATAAAACCTAAAAGGTCACTGGCTTTCTTTTAGATGAGAAACCAAAATACAAAATGTGGAAAGAAATGAAACAGAGTTGTTAGAGAAAAGTAAGACTGACTATATGGAAAAGGGAACTACAGGTTAAGGACAGAAGGGAGATTGTGATGGGGAAACATATGAGAATAATCTGCATGTGATACACATATGTTCCCATGCCCAAAGTGAAGCTAAAGATTATGCATTTCAAAGTACCAACTTTTAAGATTTCCAAATGTGTACCAGTCTTTTGGGAATAGTTGTTTTCAACATATCTTACAAGGCCATTGTGTTGCTTCAAAGTCAGAATTTCTTAGCAGGCATTAAAAACAGAACTTGATATTAATGCAGTCATTAAACAGAGACCAATTTCACTGTGAATTTTTCTTTTTTAAATTTAATATAAGGAAAGATTAAATAAGACAAAATAAGTAGAAATAATACTGCATTCAAAGTGAAAAAAAAGTAAGAAATCGCAAGATGATTACAAATGCTGATCATAGAAATAGTTATGAAATACAAAAGTGAAACATATGAAGTGGGGATTCAAACAGTGAGACTGCAAACAGTTTTGTTCAATTCTCCAAGAAAAGCTTAGTAATATGGTTATAAATCCTATATGTGATTTTTTCTTTACAGAAATGACAAGCTAGGGAAATCTTATGGACATACATCTTGGAAGCAGTGTAAAGAAGTATTCCTTTGTACTGCAGAAAGTAATGTGAATGTGAAAGAAACAGAAACACATGATGTTCAGATCCATGAAAAATATTGCAGTGGAGGGAAACCCTATGTATGTAAGCAATGTGGGAAAGTTTTTAAAACACGTGCATATTGTAAGGTTCATGTAAGAATTCACACTGGAGAGAAACCCTATGTGTGTAAGCAATGTGGAAAAGGTTTCATCCAACCTGGAAATTGTAAGGATCATGAAAGAATTCACACTGGAGAGAAACCATATATGTTTCCACAATGTGGAAAAGTATTCACCAGATCTAAACATTGTAAGCAACGTGAAAGAATTCACACTGGAGAGAAACCCTATGTATGTAAGCAATGTGGGAAAGCTTTTAACACACATGCAAGTTATAAGGTTCATGAAAGAATTCACACTGGAGAGAAATGTTATGTATGTATGCAATGTGGGAAAGCTTTTAAAACACAGGGAAATTGTAAGAATCATGAAAGAATTCACACTGGAGAGAAACCCTATGTATGTAAGGAATGTGGGAAAGCTTTTACCAGACCTGGATGTTGTAAGCAACATGAAAGAATTCACACTGGAGAGAAACCATATGTATGTAAGCAATGTGGGAAAGCTTTTACCAGACCTGGATGTTGTAAGGAACATGAAAGAATTCACACTGGAGAGAAACCATATGTATGTAAGGAATGTGGGAAAGCTTTTACCAGACCTGGATGTTGTAAGCAACATGAAAGAATTCACACTGGAGAGAAACCATATGTATGTAAGCAATGTGGGAAAGCTTTTAACACATGGGGATACTGTAAGAAACATGAAAGAATTCACACTGGAGAGAAACCCTATGTATGTAAGCAATGTGGGAAAGCTTTTACCAGACCTGGATGTTGTAAGCAACATGAAAGAATTCACACTGGAGAGAAACCGTATGTATGTAAGCAATGTGGGAAAGCTTTTACCAGACCTGGATGTTGTAAGGAACATGAAAGAATTCACACTGGAGAGAAACCCTATGTATGTAAGGAATGTGGGAAAGCTTTTACCAGACCTGGATGTTGTAAGCAACATGAAAGAATTCACACTGGAGAGAAACCGTATGTATGTAAGCAATGTGGGAAAGCTTTTACCAGACCTGGATGTTGTAAGGAACATGAAAGAATTCACACTGGAGAGAAACCATATGTATGTAAGGAATGTGGGAAAGCTTTTACCAGACCTGGATGTTGTAAGCAACATGAAAGAATTCACACTGGAGAGAAACCATATGTATGTAAGCAATGTGGGAAAGCTTTTAACACATGGGGATACTGTAAGAAACATGAAAGAATTCACACTGGAGAGAAACCCTATGTATGTAAGGAATGTGGGAAAGCTTTTACCAGACCTGGATGTTGTAAGCAACATGAAAGAATTCACAATGGAGAGAAACCGTATGTATGTAAGCAATGTGGGAAAGCTTTTACCAGACCTGGATGTTGTAAGGAACATGAAAGAATTCACACTGGAGAGAAACCATATGTATGTAAGCAATGTGGGAAAGCTTTTAACACATGGGGAAATTGTAAGGTTCATGAAAGAATTCACACTGGAGAGAAACCATATGTATGTAAGCAATGTGGGAAAACTTTTAACACACGTGCACAATGTAAGGTTCATGAAAGAATTCACACTGGAGAGAAACCATATGTATGTAAGCAATGTGGGAAAGCTTTTAAAACACAGGGAGATTGTAAGAAACATGAAAGTTCACATTCAATATAAAACCAGTGTATATAGGCATCATGAGAATGGTTTCAGCACATGTACATATTGCATAATGCATGAAAATCTTCACACTGGGCAGAAAACTTACATATGTAAGGAATGTAGAAAACGTTTCAGCAGAAATGCTCATTGTCCAATACATTATAAAATTTACATGGTTGAGAAACTCTGTGTGTATGTGAAGAACTTGGGAAAGCTTTCACCACACATGGATTTTGTAAAATACATCTATGACTTCACACTGGTGAGAAAGCCTATGTATATAACAATGTGGCAAAGCTTTTACTACATTGCAAAACACATGAAAGATTTCACACTGGGAAGAACCACTGGCTATGTAAGCAAGTGGAGACAGTTTCAGCAGCCAGATTGTAAGTGAAATACATGAAAAAAAACTCACACACGAGATAAATCCTATGTGCTATGGGAATACTCTCAGCACACATGATCATTGTTACATATCTGAAAGAGTTCACTGGGCAGAGATCCTATGTGGATTAACAATGTGAGAAATATAGCAACCCATGTTTCTTGTTAAATACATAGAAAAAGCATCACTGTTCAGAGAGTTTAGATCTAAGTTTACTTTAAAAATCCCAAGGAGTCCTGAAGAAATAATCAATACAGAAGTTAGATGTCAATATTTCTTCACAAATATTCCAGAAATGACAAATCTGAGGTGGGGCTCTCCTTAGGTGTACATGTTGTATGGTTTTCAGTTAAACACTTGTACCTCTCTAGATTTTTTAATCTAGATGTTTTTGTGCTTCAACATGGCATCTTATAACTAAACATGCTAAACTGAAATGGGCTTTTCACTTTCAAGTATGGATAGTGCCTCCGTACTTAATATTTTATCTTTAAACTTAAATTTTGTATTTTCTGGTGAATTGTAATGTTGTTTATTTAAAGAGGAAAAAAGTGTAGAAATAATACAGAATTTCAGAAAAATAAACAATAAGAAATCACTAGTTGATTAGTATCATATTGTCATCTTAGAAGTAGTTGTTCAAGTTACAAATTTAAAGCATACAAAGTGATATTCAAATAAAGACACTGTCATGGTTAACCTCAATGATCCACCAAAATGTTATTAATATGCCTATCTTCCTACACACTTTTTTTTCTTAAAGAGGGTAAGATTAAACATAGCAAAACAGAGCAAAACAGTTCATAAGGAAACAAGTTAAGGAAACACAGATTTCAAAGCAAGTCCACTGGAAATGTTCACTGTCTATCTTACTGTCTCTAGTTTTCTTCCAAATAGTTGTTCCCATTCTCACACACATTGAATATATACTGAATATTATAGAACTAATCAAATAATTACAGGATGATGCAAGCTTTTTCGATCTTCAAGACTGATTTTGGGGAAGTCGATAATGACTACCATAATGTCTCTCATTGTCTTTGTAGTAGCTGTCTTTATATTTATTATGCTGAAATGGAACATAAGAGACTAGACTAATATCACTCTGAACAGTGAATAATAGTATCCTGATAAGGAGAAAAGTGAGGAATTGCCTAAAAAAAGAAGGCAGAGGACATAGTTAAAAGTGTATCAAGATTTAAAAGCTACAGTAATCTTGTTGCTCTGTTTAGTTTGGTTATATTTTGTTCTGGTCTGTCTACTCATATTAGATTTGAGGGCACAGAGAGATAACCCAAAAATATCAGGTTATACCATGGTAATTATCCTTAATTTCCTATTAACTAAAACTGAATCCCTATATTACTTACATTGTCTTCTATGACTGATCTTTTTGAAGCTGGATTGTTTCAATGTTATTTGGCCTTGACTGATTTTATTCACATTTGGTATGCTTGCTGGTATCAAGTTCAAGAGCAGAGGCAACTACTCTGAAGATGACAAGATGTAAAAGATATCCATTGGTGAGCTGGGGATTTAGCTCAGTGGCTTAAGGCACCTTCCTGGCAAGTGTGAGGCCATGAGTTTCATCTCGAGAGCCAAAAATAAATAAATAAATAAAAGATATCCATTCCAGGTTTGATTATTTTTGTAATTAAAGAGAAGAAAGGAAATAAACAACAACGTAGTAAAAGGGTACAAGCAATACAAAATTTCAAGAAAAAATACAGTAAGAAATCACTAGTTAATAGGTTACATATTGTCATTACTAGGGTTATTTCCAAAAGATGAAAAATATTAACAAAAGATGCAAAATATAAAATAAAAAGTGGCCTTTATTCTGAGAACACAGAGAGAAATGACCGGCACCCCACCGCTGGCGTCCAGCGATCTCTCAGGCGGACACGTGGTGTGGGAGCCTGTAAATAGCCTCGGTTTGGGGTGGAACCTAAGGCGGGCATTAGGGATACACAGGGAGCCCATTGGTCCTAGGTTTGGCACCATATGTAAATTTCCAGGGGAGGGAAGATGGCATCACAGGTAACTTCCTAGGAGCAGGGGAGATAGGGCTTCCTGCTTCCAGTTGTGGCTTTCCTGGCTACAGTGTCCTATCTGGGCCAAAATCCTTTCAGTCATCTTAGAAACAGTTGTCCAAATTATAAAATTAAAGCATATAAAGTGGACATTCATACAGTGAGATTGAAGAAAGTTCTGCTCAGTGATCCAACAAAAGCTCAGTAATATGATTTTCCATCCTACACACGCAAGCATGCAGTTATATCCCTTAGACCACCTTCCTTTCCTCTCTTTTTTACAATAACAGTTACACGTTTTGAGTTTTTACTCCCACAGTTCTTATTACATTTTTTAAAGAGAATAAATCCTAACATGACTACATAAAACAGAGACAGTTAGAACAGAAGGATGGGCATAGTACATGATGCAAAAATAGAATATCAGATGATCAAAAATGGTTACCATTGTGCCTCTTGCTATTTTTAAAAAGAGTTGCTATATCATCAGGTATAATAGAATTGATCAAAACAGTACAGAACAAGACCAATAAAACCTACACTGGAAACCTTACAAGATTTCAAAAGAAGATAATAGTCAAACTATAATGGGCATTATAATAAATCTTATTGCCTCCAAAGTGGTTGTCTATACCCTCAAACTTGATACTATCAAACAAAATAGAATATAGTAAAATCAGACAGAACAAGATGTGGAGAGCAATACTGGGGTTCAAATCAGGTTAATAGGAAAACAAATAGTTACTATAACATATCCTGCTATTTTTAAATTTAGTTTTCCCTTAATTGAAAAAAAATAAAAAAGTTTAATTTTAAAAAAGGGTGGAGATTGAGATAAAAGAGGACATTGTAATAGAACAACACTGGTCAGAATGGAACAATTTAAGCATAATTGTGTTTCACTCCCAGATAATCTAACAGTAGTCACCGTAGTGCCTCATTCCTTGAATTATTTGAGTATAACTTCGTATACGATAGCATCAAGCATATCAAGATAGTGCGAAGCCATTCAACAGAATGAAAGAATTACAGGGTATTTAGAACCAGTTAACAGAAAACGAACAATGGTTTCTATATTATCTACTTGCCTATAAAAATTTTTCTTTATACTGTCACATATAGTAAAATATAGTAAGATACAACATGTTAAAACCAGTGGAAACAGATAGCTTGTTAGAGAGGGACCACCCTTGCACCACTGAGATTGAGCCCAGTGTTGATCATGTTGGTTAATTTTGAATATGCTGGTGAGTTAACGTTGCAAACATTTAGCTGAACAATTTTGTTTATGTTTGCTTGGAATATTAGCCAACAGAGTGTTTTCTTTTATATTATTTTTAACACATTATTGTCTGGCTTCATTCTCAGGATAACTTTAACTTTGTCACTTAAAAGAAGTTGGTGGTGGGTTTTCCTTCAACTTGATCAAAGAATTGAAAAACAATCAGTATTTATTCTTTATTATATACTGGATAAAATTCACCAGTGCACTTTTTGTATCCTGGCTTTGTTGTTGTTATTAAGAAGCTGTGATTTTTACCCATTGCCTGTGCTCCTTATTGCTCTGTTCATCAGACTATTTCCTTCTGATGCATGTGGTTTGGGGACATCAATGGACACCACATATCCATTAAGGGTCACATCTCATTTTACTTACGGATGCTACCATTTATTTTGTATCTTCAATCTATCTCTATAATACATAATTTTGTGAGTAACTCCTTTCAGTTACTCAGATTTAATGCACACACTTGCAGGGTTTGGTTATTGCTGGAGGAAACTGGGCCTGGTGAGGGTCTGGTCTCTAATTTAAGGCTTCATACCCTGACCTGCCTGCAGTGTACCCATCTCCTGACCTGCTCCCTGTAAACACCTGTCCTGCTCCATATCTACGGTGAGTCCACATGTGGCAGTTCAGATCTGCACCTGGGTGGAAAACATTCAGTCATGTTGGGCTCTGTAACAGACTGACCTCATACAGAGCTCCCCTGAGTGAGAGAGGGGCCCTCAGGCATGTAGGGAGGAGCTCTGGAACCATTCCAGCTCTCTCCTCTGCAGCATACAATGTGTGATGCTTTCCTGAGAACTTACTGATGGATGAGGCGGTCTGGACCAGGCCTTTTTTAGCCATGGTGTCCTGCACCTCTGCCTGGACCATCTCTCTGACTTTAGATCTCCACATAGATCTGAGCAGACTCAGTCTTCCTCTACCAGGCTCTAACTCTATGCTGAGGTTTCAAGTGAAAAGTCTGTGACCCTCAAATTCATCTTATATACATTTAACTTGGAAATTCCACTTCTAAGAGTCATTATAAAAATGAGATTGACAGACACCATATTCTCTTCTTAATAAGTTAAGATGTGGACTGTTAGAAACCATGAATGTTCCACAGCACAGCTGCTGAATTAATTATAAATTACAGCCACTGAAAATGCTGAAAGAAGGCCATGTCCTAGGCCATGTCCCCGATCTTTCCTGAGATTGAAGAGAGCTTGTGTCCTGGCTC